AATTAAACCCGGAAGCGAGGCTGAGAAGTCTTTCATTTTGGATATTCTACGGGATCTTGCGGCTATTCCTGTCGCAGCCCCAGCAACCAAGGAAGGTGTTGAAGCTCTAGCTGATGCTATTGCGACAGCGTTCTCGGACGCGTGGTTTGCCCACTCGACCGAGTCCAAACCTACCAAGCGCTCCAAGTCCTGGTGGACGGACGAGTGCTCGGAGACTTTCGGAGTATATCAGTTGAGCCGCTCGCTCGCTGACTACAACAAGTTTAAAAAGGCGTGTAAGGACGCCAAGCGTGATTTCTTCGATGAACGCATCGCAGAAATCGCTACCTCTCGCAAGCGCCCATGGGACCTAATGGAATGGGTCAAACAGCGCAAGCTACCACCCTGTGAGGCTATTCGCAATGACGACCAGCCCTGCCACGATATGGACGACCTTTGGGACGCCCTACACGGCACGTACAACTCGGCCTCTGGTCGCGAGTACGACGCCTCAGTATTAGACGAGCTTCCTGATGAGCCAGTCCGTGAGTGGGCTGACTTTTCGGAGCATGAGTTGTTGAGTGCCCTTAAGGGGTGCTCCAATTCCTCTGCACCAGGCCCGGACCACGTCACATGGGTCCACCTAAAGGAGCTGCTCAAGGATAAACACGTCCTTGCGCTCTTCATCGTGTTGGCCAATGCTTGCCTTCGGGTGGGTCATTGGCCACGTATATTCAAGGAGTCGCTATCGGTTATCGTTCCGAAGCCGAACAAGCCCTCCTATGCTGTGCCAAAGCGGCCTTCCTATCGTACTCCTCATCACCTTCGGTAAACTTATCGAAAAGATGATTGCCAATAGGATACAGTTTGACGCGGTCAAGCATGATATCTTCCATCCCAACCAACTTGGCGGCATCCACCAAAGGTCAACTGAGGATGCTGGATTGATTCTGACCCATCTCGTGCGAGCGGGGTGGGTTAAGGGTCTCCAGACTAGCGCGCTGGCTTTTGACATCGCGCAGTTCTTCCCTTCTATTAACCATGAGATGTTCATGGCTGTTCTTCGCAAGCAAGGGTTTTCGCCTGTTTTGGTGGAATTCTTTGCCTCTTACCTTGTAGGCCGCTCCACAGTTTACTGTTGGAACACCTTTCAATCCGACTCACGGTCTGCGGACGTGGGTGTCGGGCAGGGCTCAGCTCTCTCGCCTGTCATCTCTGGGCTGTTCATTGCTCCGGTAATGAAGCTCTTCTACATCAAAGCGGCGCCACTCAACATGACGCTGCTGTCTTTTGTGGATGATGGGACCATTCTGGCCCAATCGAAACAACTTGATGATAATAATGTGGGCCTGCGTAAGGCCTACAAAATTATCTACCTCCTCTTTGTTGCCTTCGCGCTCGTTCTTGAACACGACAAGACCGAGCTGTTTCACTTTTCGCGTCGCCGAGACGCCTACAATCCCTCGCTGGATTTGGGGTACGCCCCTCATACACCTTTGAAACCTAAGACCTATTGGAGGTACTTGGGCTTCTACTTTGACCGCGGGCTCACGTTCCATGAGCACGTTCGCTACTATGCCACTAAGGCGTTTACCACCGTGCAAGCCATGCGCATGCTCACTCTACTAGAGGTCGTTT